CACCACCGGCATCCCCGGCAGCCGCGGGACAAACGGCGGTGGTTGCTCGCCCCAGGCAGGGCATCCTGTGGATGCTGGTCGGGGATCTGGGTTTAGGGGATGCTTTGCCACCCCTGCCCCACAGCGTGCACTGGTGAGCCCAGCCGTGCACTGACCCCAGGCCCCTGACAGCCCCTCTGTTACCAAGCAGCTTGCAAGGACCAGTGTGCACAAGGCAGGGGACTGATGGGACTAGTTTGGGGGTCCTGGGGTGCCAGTGTGTCCCCCAGAGTAGCTGACCCGGTGGGAAGGGGGCTGCACTGCTGCTCCTGCACTGACCTTCGTGTGACAGGATGGAGGGACCGGGATGCCAGTGAGGTGCCCTCTCTGCCACAGGCTGGGAGACCCACATGTGAAGCGGGGTCCTGAGCAGCACCAATGTCACATGGGGGTGATGCTGGTGGAGTGGTACCCGAGCCCTGCTCTGCACCCTGGGGGCTGTAGGACCCTGTCCTTGGTGGGAGCGCAGGACCCCGGTGCTGCTGCCCTCCTGATGCTGCCCCATCTCCAGAGAATAGACCCTGCAGAGACAGCAGGGAGGTGGATGGTTTTCCCAGCCCCTTTGCTGGGGAACAGGAACCTGGAGTGGCCTTGTCCCCCTCATCCTGGTTGCCCACGGAGCAGAGCTCATTACCGGCACGGCCACGGTGAACAATGAGGCTCCCGGCACCGACAGCTGTCTGGCGGCTAATGGCCCCTGGGGGCTGCCCACAGCCGGGGCAGGCACAGCTGGAAGTTCCATGGCCCCATCCCCAGTTCCCACTGCTACGGGATGGGACCCATCCTGCTGACAGATGCAGACAGGAGCCAGGGCAGGATGAGGCAGCTCCAGTGCTCAAGTGACTCAGCAGGGACTGGGACCAGTGTGGGAGGGACAACCCCAGTCATCCATCTCCAGTGGGCAGTTTTGGATTGTGCCTTTCCCCTGTCCCTGGCGAGGCTGTCCAGGAGGGATGGTGAACTCGCTGTGTTGTTCCCACAGGGTACCTCCAGCACTGCCTGGCGCCAGCTGGCTATGACACGGACAAGAAGCAAGGTCTGCTGCCGCCACCGCCGGACCCAGCCTATGCCCCCAGCCACGAGGAGTACAGCGACCCCGAGAGCCCCCAGTCCAGCTTCTCCGCCCGCTACTTCAACGGGGAGGCGGCGGTGACAGACAGCTACTCCATGGATGCCTTCTTCATCACGGACGGGCGGTCGCGCCGGCGCAGCGAGAGCCAGCGCCGTGGCAGCCACCGCCACTCCTGCCCCGAGTGCGGCAAGACCTACGCCACCTCCTCCAACCTCAGCCGGCACAAGCAGACCCACCGCAGCCTGGACAGCAAGATGGCCAGGAAGTGCCCCACGTGCGGCAAGGCGTACGTCTCCATGCCCGCCCTGGCCATGCACGTCCTCACCCACAACCTCAAGCACAAGTGCGACGTGTGCGGCAAGGCCTTCAGCCGGCCCTGGCTGCTGCAGGGCCACATGCGATCCCACACCGGGGAGAAGCCCTTCGGCTGCTCCCACTGTGGGAAGGCCTTCGCCGACCGCTCCAACCTGCGCGCCCACATGCAGACCCACTCGGCCTTCAAGCACTACAAGTGCAAGCAGTGCGAGAAGACCTTCGCCCTCAAGTCGTACCTCAACAAGCACTACGAGTCCGCCTGCTTCAAGGGCTCCGAACACAGCTGTGCAATAGGGAACTAGGCCCCCAGCCCCCTGTGGCGCATCCCCATCTTCATCCCTATGTCCAAACCCCATCCCCATCTCCGTCCCCACCTCATCCCGTGCCTGTCCCCATTCCCATCCACATCCCACCCCGCCCCCATCCCCATCCCATCCTGGTCCCAGTCCCCACGCCAGCACTCCTGCAGCTGCAGCCAGCCAGTCTGAAGCTGTGCTGAGGCTGGAGGACTCATCCCTGCAGACTCACTCCCCACCTGGGAGAAGGATACCCTACTGCTCCCTGGGAAGGGGGTACCCCACAATGGGACCCAAGCTCCAAGCTTATGGGTCCCCGAGCTCCCCCTGCAGCCAGGCAGGTTTCTCTGCAGGGGACTCACCTGGGGGCCTCTTCCAGATCCAGGAGAGATTTCCTCCCCCGGCTTGTGATTTTCACCTTTATTTATTTAATTTATTACTATTATTTATTTAGAGCTGCTGCTTCTCACTCCGGGGGATCCCGGGGGAGAAAAGACACTTTTGTGCTCCCCATCAGGAGCATGCCCTGCCCTTGACCCTAACCCTGATGGTACCATGGGCTGGTGCGACTGCCTGCTCAGCAGGACTGACGGCCACTGAGGCTGACGGAGGGCAGGGCTACCAGTCACCCTTGGAGGCTGGGGTCCCTGCAGCCCACCACCCAGGGCACCCTGCTGCCCCCTGCCCTGTGGCACTATGTTCACCCTGGCACTGTGGCTCCACAGGCTCAGAGTCAGGGGAAGAGCGAGGGGCTCCCAGCAGAGATCCACGGGACAAATCCTCCATTGGATCCCAGCTCCTGGCTTGGCCAGGCACAACTGGGCTCTGTCACGGTGATGGGCTGGGAAACAGCCCCCCCAGGCAGGTGCAGCCCCTCCTTAGCATGCCAATGGCTGGGCTGGCAGCTGGGCTAGAGACCCAGCCCTGGGGCAGGCAGCACGCAAACCCCCAACCACCCCCCATGTAGCCCCAACCCTTGCCCAGCCCCTTCTCCAGCCAACTCCCGGCTCCCTCGCCATCACCCCCCGGCCTGCGCTCAGGAGGAGGGGGTCAGAGTAGCCGTAAAGTTTGGGTGAGTCTATTTAAATGTTCTTATTTATATTATTTATAACTTATGCTTTTCACTATTTATTTGCCAAGACTGGCCAGGCCGTGCCAGCGCTGGCTCGCAGGAGGTGGCAGAGCTGCAGCAGAGCTGCCGTGCCCAGGACGCAGCCGCGGTGACACGGATGGGGACGGGACCCCGAGAGCGGACAGTGCGGCGGGGCACGGGGAGGGCACGAGCTGGCCTGGCAGCCTGGGCTCCACGCCCTGCAAGCCTCCCCCAAAGGCAAAACCCTTCTCCTTCGTCTTCCTTACTGCCATGGGTTCCTGCTTTGCTCCGTGCCCCCATGCCAGCCCGGTGGGGACAAACCAACCACTCTATGCAACCTCCCGGCGGAGCATCCCCAAACCGGCCCCCGAGCGAGCGCCGTGTGCGGCATCCCGGAGCGGGGCCCGACCCACGCCTCTGCCTCCTACCTCGGGCCGCGAGCTGCCACAGCCCCATCACCCTGCGCCAGTCCTCGACACCTCGGGGCTCAGCCCGGCACGTCACGGGGCCGCACTCGTGCACCCCACACACCGTCTTCCTGCACCGTCTTCCTCCCTGCACCGTCTTCCTCTCGCCGCCTCGGTGCCCGCGTTGGTCACGGGCTCAGTGGGGATGTCCCTGTCGTGCTCCTCCCTGCCGTGGCACGGTGGTCACGCATCCTCACCCCACTCAGGGGACGAGCATGGCCCCGGCCACTCAGGCACCCACCGGGCTTTCCCCGCCATGCCGGCGCCGTTCCACGGAGCACGGAGTCCCACAGCCAGCAGGCTCAGAGCGCCGCGCCGCCGCCCCTCTCTCCTGTAAATAGCAGATACTACAGCAATAATTTTCCGTGCATGATAGATTTTTTTCTGCCAGGTTTTTGTACTCGCCAGCCCCAGTAAGACAAGTCTACTGAGATCCGGCCACCCGCAGTATTACTTGTAACGCAATTCAGGGATATAAAAGGGATTTCTGCCACTAACCACGTGTCTCGGGGGATTTGTGCTACCGGTGGCGGGTGGTGGCACACGAGTTGCCAGCATGCCCATCCCCACGGTGCCCACACCCACCCCTGGGCTGGAGCATCAGTGGAGAGAAGTGCCCCAAACTGAGGGGTGATGTCCTGGCAGCCTGCTGGGAGCAGGTGGCTGAGGCACCCAGAGCAGCCCGTGTGCTGCCCGTGTGGCCCTGCCAGCCCTGCAGCCAGTGGGCAGCAGCCAGACAGCCCCCTGCCGTGACAAGGGGGGGTGTTATGATGCCATCCTGCTCATGAGAGCGCCGGGGGCTGCAAGCACGGCAGAGCGCTGACCTGGAAGTAAAGCGGTGTGTGAAATCCCGGCAGCGGGCACAGAGCCCGGGGGGCAGCCTGGGGGGGCCTGACGATGCTCACACACCCCCGGGGCTCCACTGCGCTGGATGGGGAGGATTTGGTGAGCAGATTTTATTTCAACTGCTGCCGTGCCGGCATTCACTCCCATGGGATGTGGTTGGGGTGGTGGGAACAACCCAGCAGAGCCCCTGCTCCCGGGGCAGCCAGTGCTCCTGCCCCTCCACCTCTCTCCCCTCAGCCTTCCCTGCATGTGAGTGCCAAAGGGGGAGGGCAGATTTTTTTGGGGGGCATCCAGTTTGTCAGCAGTGCCCTCGCTGAGTCCTGTGCTCCCAGTGACATCCGTGCAACCATTCACCTGCAAAGTCATCAGCAGATTCACCCTGCAAAATACTAATCCCAGAGCCTCACAAGCCCATCCCTGACCATCACTAGTGTGTTTCCGAGTCAGCTCCAGGGCTGGGGACCCTCCATGCCTCCCAGGAGCCAGGGTGAGGGCAGATGGGAGCAGCCATCTGCCAGCATCACAACCCCACTCTGGATCCGGGGTGTCCCGACTTCAGCAGCTGGTGGGGTGGGGGACCCAGTTCTTCCTGGAAGCCTCTCCCCATTTAGGACATTGGTCTGAAGAAATGACCTAGAAAGATTCAGGGCTGGAATGCTGCGGTGCCTGCCCCAGCTGTGGAGAATCCCAGCATGGCTGATCAGCCCTGGGGCTGTGTCCTGACTCCTCTTCCTTGCCGAGGACCCCGCAGGCATCAGCATAGCAGGAAGGGGGCTCTAGGGTGGGGATGTGTTCCTGGCACGGCCAGGCAGGTGGGGGGCACATTCCAGCTCCCAGAGGAGACGCTGCAGAATAATCCTTAATGCGCCAGTATGGCCAACTGGGAGAAGAGACCCCTGGGCAGCTTTCAGGGTTGGGGGGCAGGACAGGGACCCCCAGCACAGCTGGTGGGGGGCTCAGCTGCCACGTGCCGAGGAGTGTCCTGTGGGGATGAGGAGGTGAGGGCAGCCCTGACTGCAGGCTCGCAGGAGCAGGCAGCGGGCCAGCTGGCTCTGGCACCCGTCCCGGCAGCCAGTCCTGCCCCTTCACTGTGACTCTGCAAAACAGCGGGGCGGCGGCGGTGACGATGACGATGGCTGGGCCAGGAGGAAGCAGAGCGGCCCGGCTGGGAGCTGCCCTGCTCGGGGCAGAGCAGAGGGCTCGGCTGGGCAGGAAGGAGGAAGGCCAAGGCCGGCTGGCAGCCACAGCCATGGCCGAGCCCGATGACCGGAGCATTCACACACAGCACATCTCGGCCGTACACGACGTGCCCATGCGCGTCCTCATCCGGCCCATCCCGTCGGAGCTGGATCCGGGGAAAGTGCAGAGCCTGGTGGAGACCCTGCAGGTGAGTGCAGACCCCCCGGGGTGCCCGGGCAGCCCCTCCTGCACCTACCGTGCCACCTGGGGGGCACTGCTGGGGAAGATCACAGCACCTGAGCCCTGGCACTGGCAGGTCGGGGCCTGTCCAGGGCGTTTGGGGGTGCTGGAGTGTGTTGCTCTTGGATATCTCTCTCCCTTCCCAGGAAGATCCTGAGCGGGTGCCCCCCATCGACGTGCTCTGGGTCAAAGGCAGCGAGGGTGGTGACTACTTCTACTCCTTCGGGGGCTGCCACCGCTTCGCCGCCCACCAGGCACTCCAGAGGGAGACCATCCCCGCCAAGATCATCCCCTCCACCCTCAGCGACCTCCACACCTATCTGGGCTCCTCCACACCCCACCTGCGCTAGCCCAGCACCGCGAGGATGCACCCGCAGCCCCCCTTGTCCCCGTTGGTTCCCACCCGCGGGCCCCGTGAGCCCCTGGTGAAGATGGGGTGGGGGTCCCCCAGCCCTAAGGGGGTCCCCGGGGTCCCTCCAACAGGGATAGGATCAGTGTCCTCCAACCCTGGAGTGTCCCCGGGGTTCCTCCAGCCCGGGTGGGCTCAGGATCCTCCAACCCTGAGGGGCGTCCCTGGAGTCTCTCCAGCCGGGATGGGGTCAGGGTCCCGCCGGTACCGGGAGGTGTCCGGGGCTCGGCAGAGCGGCAGGTGGCGATATTGTGCCGCGCTCCGCCGCCACGAGAGACCGCGGGGACCGGCACGGGACGGGACGGGATGAACCAGGACGGGACGGGATGAACCAGGACGGGGTGAACTGGTTGGGGTGGGCTGAATCGGGGCACGGCTCAGCCGGGAATAGCTGAACGGTGATGGAACGGGAGGAACCGGGGCATGGCTCAACCGGGAATGGCTGAACCGGGACAGGAGGGGCTTAACCGGGGCACGACTCAACCGGGACGGACTGAAGCAGGGCACACTGGAACTGGGACAGGTCACAGCCCGTCCGAGGCACAGATGTACCAGGAAGGGATACAGACGGACCGGGAAGGCATAGAAGCAAAGCAGGACACAGCCCAATCAAGACACAGAGGTACTGGAAGGAGGTACAGGTGAACCGGTCAAGGCCAGTCCCCAGCCCTCCCACAGCGACTCTGGGCACACCCTGTGCTCGGATCGGGGGGAACCTGGGCTGTGCCTGCCCCAAAAACGTCTGCTCCAAATCTGGACACATTCCGTGGTCCCCCTGTCCATGGGGGACCCCCCTGGGGTGGTGACATCTGCTGCTGCACCTGGAATAAAGGTGATCAAAGCCCCACAGCTCCCGGGCCTGGTGCTGGGGTGTGATGGGACTGGGAGCAGGGATGCAGTGATGGAGCACGGCACAGCATGGCACAGCATGATGGCCTGGCACCAGCAAGAGCAGTGTCTGGGGGCACATGGACAGATGCTCTGCAAAGGGATGGATGTTCTGTGAGGAGATGAATGCTGTGCAGGTACAGTGCTCTGCCAGACTGCCCTGCCATGCAGCCGAATTCGGGGTCAGCTCTGGCCCAGCGGGGGGAGCACATGTGGTCCCGCCGTGCTGGGATGCTGTCATGTCTGCAAGCACCACTTCGTCACCCCACGTGTAGGCTGCAAAAACCGCCCCAAGCATCCCCTGGGCATCTCAGCATCCCTCTGAGTCTGGAGCCTCTGTCCAGGGAGGGGAAAGGCTACTGACTCACCCACCACACCATGAGTCAGCAGCAGGATTGGGACAGGAACCGCAGCCGGACACTTCTGCCTCCTCAGTCACGCTCCTCCCCGGACAGATCCTGTCCTCCCAGGGCAGAAATGGGCTGGGAGAGGGTTTGGATGGAGGGCACGGCCCCCAGACAGCAGCTCTGCAGCATAGTGTGCATGGCAGAAGCTGGCAGTGCTGGCACTGGACAGGGCACACTTCACCACTGCCTCTGCGTTTCCACAGGATCCACTGGGGAGGAAAAGCAGGGTGGGCTGGGGGTGCTGGATGAGGGAAGGGACCGGAGGGAGACTCCGGAGCGGCAGAGCTGCATGTGCCACATCAAAGTGGCTGTGCGCCGGGAGGAAGCCCTGCAAGCACTCACAGAGAGCAGCCCTGGCCCACGGCTCCCCGATGGGCCATAAATTTCTCCGAAGAATTGTGGCGTGCTAAAAAGTTTCCTCTTGTTAGAGAGCGGGGAGGGGGGGGTGAGGGGAGGAGGCAGCAGCTCCTGCTGCAGCTCCTGTGGCAGCGTGGACATCTCCAAGGCGCCCCAAATGGGCGTCCAATGGCAGGGACTGGTATTTACCCCAGTCCTGTGTGCCCCGAATGCTGGGCATCTCATGTGGACTCTGCTCACCCCTCTCCCACAGGTTTGTGCTCCTCTTCCCTCAGATGAAAGACAGCTCAGCAGAGCTGGGACTCCACAAGTGGAAACGAACCGAGGCTGCCCAGATCCTGCAAGTCCTCTCCCTGTACCCCAGGGGGGCTTCTTCCACCTGGGAGGCCCACTGCAGGATCTGCTCTCCCATCTCCCCACCCCCTGCAAACAGTGCCGGGGGTCTGTGCCAGCACCAAGGTGCCTTGTGACTCTGCTCCAAGGGCTTGCTGGCACTGGCTGGGAACCAGGTCCAGGCACTGTGTCCAAGGGGCTGTGTGAGCATCTCCAGGCCTGACTGCTGCATCCCCGGCCCTGGCACGGTGTGGGCAGCGGGAGCCGGTGCACAGCTGGAGTTGAAGATGCCACAACCCCCTGGCAGGCATGGGAGTGGGTCTTGCCAGAGCCCACGATCCCTGCGTTGCCTCCATCCATCCGTCCTCCACCTGTCCCCCTTCCCTCTGCCTGACCCGCGGGGTCTCCGGTGTCGCCGGCTGACAGCCGATCCGGCTGCTTCCAATCCATTCGTTCCAGGGCAGGAACAAAGGCGCTTTGTGGGCTCCCCCCAGCCCAGGATGGGTGGGGGGGTCCCGGCTCCGGAACTGGGACAGACTTCCCCGCACGACAGGCGTGTAATGCTTTCCAGACTGGCAGCCCTGACCCGCAGGTACAGCCCTGGGGCGGGTGGAGGGGGGCTTGGTGCTTCCCACACTGCCTGGGAACCCACCAGGTCACCCTGACACAGCCCCGATGCTGCAAAATAGGAGAACACTCCTGCTCCTCCAGAGGTTTCACAAGGCCCATCCCCATGAGACTCCAACTGCTCCTCTCCACCCAGAGGGGCTCCAGGGGTTCCCAGGTCTGCCAGCCTGGTCTCTCAGTGTTAGGGAGCAGGGAAAGGCTCCCCTGGACATCCCAGCCCTGCTGAGCTCAGCACTGGAAGGGAGGTACCTGGACTCAGAGGATGCGTGTACTCAGCTGGACGGGGCAGGGCTCTGGGCTGGGGCAGCTCCTGCGTCTGTGGCCTCCTTGGTCTGAGAACCCCAAAACTGGAGAGTTGACAGAGAGGCCATTCCTGGACATCCCCCAGCACCAGGGGCTGATCAGAGGCTATGGGCAAGTGGGGCCAGATAGTGCCCTTGGGGGCTCAGTGGGAAGGGCTGGGATGGGGATGGATATGATGGGATGGATGGCATGCAGCGCAGTAGGATAGGACATGATTGGACAGGGTGGGGTGAGATGGGATGGACGTGATATGGTGGGATGGGATGGGGTGGGATGGGGCGGGGTTGGACAGGTCAGTCCAGAACTGCTTCACTGGGGCTCAGCAGGGTCAGGCCCCGTGTCCTGGTGGCCACATGTTCCAGCAGTGCCGCAGGTCTGGAATCCATTTGCCTTGCCGGCCGTGGTGTTTTCCCAGCAGGGCCAGAGTGGCCCCACAGGGCTGGGGGCAGCCCTGGCCCCTGGCCCATCTGCTCCCTGTTTATTTTCTTACACTTAAGTATCACCTCAAAGATAAACACTCCCTGGAGTGGGGGCAGGGGGCATTTCCCCAGCAGTGGAGGCGGGACCCAGCCCTTGGGGTGCCCAGCACCCCAACTCCATGGTGTCCCCCAGCCTAGGAGAGCCTGATTAGATTGGGGTCAGGGCTGCAACCCCATGCTCGGGCCATGTCCCCTCCGTGCCACGTGTCCCACGCAGGGTCCTGTGCAAGCCCAGTGCTGCCCTCTGCCCAGGGGTCAGCTTGTTCGGCTGGATCAGCCGTGAGAGCTGCGATGCCAAACCCCGCCGTGTCCTGGCACCCGCTCAAGCCGGCGGAAGGTTTGTGATTCCGAGGCCCCGGCTGAGCCTCGCGCTGCCCGGCTGAGTCAGAGCTGCAGTGCTGGGGGGGCCAAGGGGGTCCAGGCATGGGGATGCACGTCCTGTATCACACGCCTGCCAGGCAGCACAGGAAAACACGGCTGCTGCCCTGCGTCCTCCCTGCTGCATTTGCAGGCAGCCGGGCAGGCAGGGAGCAGGCAGCATTCCCTGCTTCCCGTGACTCCTGTTGGTCTCTCAGCCAGGGCTGATGGTTCCTTCTGTCCGTCCGTCCGTCCCCTGTGTGCAGGGTCTGGTGAGGCGGTGGTCACACGCATGTGCCAGCCTGGGGAGGTCACTGCGGCAGGAGGTGGTGGCACTCGGTGTCCCCTGCACACACCCCCCCACACACACGTACACACGCGTGTGACACCGCGCAAACACGGGCACGTGCCCTCATAGTCGTGTGTGTCCACGCACAGGCACGCACCATGACACACATCACGCACGTGTGCCCACACACGCCTGGATGCACAGATGTGTGTAGCCACTCGCCCACTCACACGCGCGCCTGTGCTGCCCCTGCCCCTCACTGAGCCACCTCCAGTGCCTGCTGCTCCTTCCCTGCCTGTGCCTCACCATGTCCCAGACCCCAGTGCAGCAGCACAGGCCACCAGCGCCCCACAGAATGGCTGTGCCCCCCCAGAAAAGCCCTGTGGCAGAGCGGCTGGGAGCAGGGACTGGGTGACCCCCCCCGCCCCCCAGCCTGTCCCTGTCAGCTGGTGGCCATGTGTGGGGCGTGCAGCTGAGTACACAGCCCCTGCCATCCGTCTTGCCTCCTGTCAGGGCCGGGGGTGGCTGTGGCCCCCCAGGCACAGCCCAGCGGGATGTGGGGGTCAGAGGGGGGCAGAGCGGAGGTTCCCCTCTCTGCGCAGGCACCTGCCTGCTCCCTGCCTGCTCCATGCCTGTCATGCCAGGGGCTTGCCCATCCCCACTTCTGTCCCTGGCACTGCCTGCACATGCCCTTTTGCAGGGCTCTGCGCTTGGGCAGGGGCTACAGAAGAGAGTCAGGGTCCTTCAGGCATGGTGAGAGGTGTCAGTGTGGACACAGAGCAGACCCCTCCACGACCCCACCCCCAGCAAGATCCCTGGCCCTCAGCACAGCCCCGTATGTCCCCAACCCCAGTGGGACCCCCAGTCCCTGGTGCAGCCTTGCATGCCCCCAGCAGGACCCCCAGCCCGACTCTCTTCTCCCTCCACTGTGTGATTTACAGGCTCTGCACAGGCAGACAAATGGTGAAGGAAAACAGGGCAGGGGGGTCCCGCCGGCCGGGGGCTGCCTGTGCCCCGCGGGGGGCAGAGGGGCCGTTTGCTCACAGCTGGCAGGACGGGAGGCAGTGACGTGGTGCCACTACCAGGCGGCACCACTGCTGTGGTCCAGCAGCCACAAGCCCTGGCACCACCGGGAGAGCCCTGTGGGGAGCCCAGCCACCAGGAGCCCCACCAGGAGCTCCAGTCCCACAGCCACGGGAAACTGTGGGATGTGATGCCACCCCATCCCACAGCCTCCAGCCTCCACCCATTGACCACCTTGCTATGGGCTTTGCAGCATACCTGCTTCATTCTTCGGCCACTGTCCCATCCTTGGCAAACTTCCAAGATTTCTCCTGGCATTCCCCTCTGGCTATGGGGTCACCAGACAGTGGGGACTTCAGCCAGCACTGCCAAGTCCTCTGGCCATATCCCTGGCAGCCCTGGGGCCATCCACCAGGAGCCAGGTCCTGCCCTCCATATGTCTTTGCTGTTTGGCCTGCCATGCCTGGAGCATCGTGGAGGAGGAGGAGGAAGGGGAGGAAGGCAGGCAGGAAGCCTCCTGCCCACTTGGCTCAGCTGGCTTCCCCCTTGCCTGCTCCAGGGTGTGCTGGGCTTGGG